TGCCACTATTACTGGGCTAAGAAGGGAAGAGGAGAAGAGGGGAAGTGGGCTGGGAACATACCAGATTCCGCCTTAGTCTAGGCACAGTCTGCGCCAGTTGAGCCTTTGCCATAATAAAAGATGACATTTTATAGCAGTCATAGCCATGTTAGCAGGGCGGCAAGGAGCAAGGATGCTCTGTGCTCGGTGGTTTTGGGCCTTTTGGCCTAGTCCCTGCTGAAATGGAAGCCAGAAGCTAGAGTAAACCAGCTGCCGTAGGCAAGTCAAAGAGACACAGCTGCAAAAGTACATAAACCCAGAAATGTCATGTTTATTTTCATTTCATAAGGAAATTGTCTGTCTATATAGTTTTGGGCCGAGTGGAACAGCGGCAGCAGCAGCAGCACCTGGAAAAACTTTCCCAATAAGGAGGACGAGTCGCCGGGATTGTCTGGTGGTTTTTTATGACTCTCACATAAAGTCGTGGCAAGCTGAACGATTTACTGCCACCCAACAAATTTATAGCCCATAATTAGCATATGAAATGGTTAAGTGCACCACAAATTGCACTTCAGTGTAGTGCACATGCGGCTTAACCGGAAATATGGCCGGATCAAAACTGAAGTTTAATAGAATTCGTGGTGCTGGTTTGGGGTCGATTTAATGGCACTTGATGTGGGTTAATCATCGATTTAAACTTTTCCAGCAGCAGCCATATTTTTCTTCGCTCAGCGTCAACTTATGACTTTGCCCAAACTCGCTAATGGCTTAAAAATCGGGCACAAATTATCCCCATTAAGTATTCAAATTTCTGGAAACTTTGCTCGAGCACTCAGTTGCCACTTTGAGCGACTGCCACAGGTTGAATCTTCGCACATAGCGAATCGCACATCCCGCAGCGCACAGCGCACACACGCCGCCCGGAAAGTATCCACTCATCTAATCGCATCGTTAACATCATCAGCAATTTCGCACTGTCATGGCCCGAACAATGGCCAACACCAAGAGCAGAGGACCGGGCTAACCGTTTAATCATTTTGTCACGCGTTGGCTAAACAAAAAAGCGGCGGCAAAAGGTTGCCCGATCGCTGCTGCTGGTGGGGAATTAAATTTTAGCATATGTCATAAGGGCTTAGCCATGATTTATACGGCGAAAGGCAGCCATCAAATGTCGGGACAGGGCTTGTAATAAAGGGAATTAGGCGATTCCCAAGGGAGAGACAGAGAAAGGGGTTCGGTGAGAGGAGGGGAGAGGGGAAAGGGGATCAATGCGAAACTAAACGATTTGGGAAGCTCGAACAGCAGATGCAGCTACATCGGCGGGAGAACATAACCATTACTCTTCCGAGGAGACTCGCTTCGGCTTCATATATCTTCATTTTAGCAGCGGCACTTGCACTGTGAAAAATAGACCGTGATTACACGCCGAATCTGGGCATTTTATCAGACTTCCTCGTCTCGCAGTGTAGAAACGACATGGCAGCGCTCAGCTGTGCACAAATTCGCTTGTGTATAAATATTTATATATTGAAATGCAATGCGAATCGATGGGAATGGAGTTGAAATCGGTGTTTGGCCGGGAGCCGGGAGTTCGAGTTGAATTTCGAGCAATGTGCCGCAATGCAATCGAGCCAGACGAAATTGAATTTGCAGCAAGTTGCTCAGGATTCGGCATTCGCATTCGCATCCACATTCGAATCCGCATCCGCATCCGCATCCTCGTCTTTTGCTCGCCAGCTCTCGTCTTATTGCACAGTTTGTCCTATTTGAGCATGCGAAAATGCGATTTGAGCCACTCCCTCCCTCCCCCTTTCCTCCCACAAACTTGGCCTGGCCTGCAAAAGTTTTCCATCGGTTGTTGCTTGCTATTTTTCCCGGGTGGGGAAACCGGGCCCTGAGCTGTGACAAATCTTTATGCAATGTTGCATGTCCCCTGATTTGCCATGATGACATGCTGATGGAATAAGTAGAGGGACGGCAAACGGAACTAAAACTATGACTGCTCCTCGGTGACTCTGTCTCTCCATCCTGAGCCTGAGCCTGAAGCTGGATCTGAAACTGTATCTGAAACTGTATCTGCAGCTGTATCTGCAAAGGCTGCCGTACTAGTATCCGTATCTCTGTGCCATCCTGTCTATCTGTCTGTGCCAGTGATTTGCTCGCTGAAGCGTTAAGCACAAAAATTGGTAATGGCTGTGGCTGTCCCGTTTTTGGCAATCATTGCGCAGGTTTTATATCTTTATGTTGGTTTCTTTCTCTGATAGGTTTTCGATTTGGCCAGGACCGCAAAATGCCATCGATTTGATGTGTTTTCCGACACAAGGTTGTTCCTACAGGTCTACCCTAACTAAAGTTTAAATTCGGTTTCGTTGTGCAAAGACTCTAACTGTATTACCATAGCTTCTATTTGAGTGTCGGTTGATTAAGAGTGGTTGAAATTTAATTAATTTCTCTGCTAGTGCCATTTGGCAACAGATTTTCAGCAAGGGCCCCGGGCAAAAGAAGCTTATACATCAAAAGACACTGAACTTAACCAGGAAAGCCAGGCCCTTTCCTAGAGTTTCCACTTGCATGAAAAACACTCCCACTGTAAGCTTTCTCTCTCTATTAATTGCATTAATATCTTTATGAAACATGATTTATAAAAGACCAAGCAAACACAAATAATGAAAATATCGAAATAGGTGAGCCCCTCGACCAAAATGTGCGAGTGGAAACTTTTCATTATAAATTGCGTGCCAGCTGTCAACATGGTGGTTGCCCCGGGGCCAATTGAAATGGATTTGTGGACGGGGGGAGGGCGGGGGGTTGTTCTGAAGGCGTCCCGATGGAATGGCAATGATAAGGGGGCGTGGCACTGGCAGTTGAAAGGCTAATTTTGCACATTTGGACTGACATCCATGAGGAGCAAATGCGTTGTGGGTTATCATTTGGTTGGTTAGTCCTTTTCGGAGGCGAGGAAAAAGGGGGCAACGGCGGTCGGAGGGGCGTGGCAGGGCAGGCAATTTCATGGTTAAATGATTCAGAAAGAGAATTACAAAATTAGGCCTTGGCCCAGCCCCTCCGGTTAACACAATGTAATTAACTTTTGCGCGACTGCCTCGCCCTCTCAATATATTTGATATTTATTTTGGCCCTCTGGGTGCACTTTGGTCATTCGCCCGCTGACAACTTTGCCTCTATGGAGCCGAGTACGCCGGATGTGCTGGCCATCTTCCGCCGACCTCCCCTCGCTGTCCCTTTATTCGAGCGGCTTTCGAAAGCAATTTGAAACAAATTTTATTGCCAAAGTTTTCGGAGCACATGGAAAATTGTTCAAGTGCCACCGCAAACAAAAAGCGAAAAAAAGGAACCGACCAAGATGCCGCCCTGATCCACAATTAGTCCTACACAAAAGTGTGTTAACTGCTTTCGGATTGCAAATAAAATGAGACGAATTTGCGTGGAAATTTATAGTTTGATAGTGAAGGAGGGGGGGAAAATCGTAGAACGGTTCGATATCGAAGATTGGTTGCCTCTTAAAGTGCGGCCTTAAAACCTCGTACAGCTGGTGACCCCAGAAAAGGGAGGTAGTGGGCTCAGTGAGTCCGCAAGCCTCGTTGCGCTTCATGACCAACTTCAATGGTCGGCGCACAGTGCGTATGCGTAATAAACAAAACAACTGCAGTAACAATCGCCCTCGTCGTGCTTTCTCTGTTTTTGTGTGTGTGTGTGTGTGTGTAAGTGGGCTTTATTTAAATTTACAACCAAGCAGTCGGCACTGTTGAGCTTTCCTACGCACACTAGTCATGACCCCTCTCCCCCTTCCCCACCAACTCTCGTCCCCTCCTGCTGCACAATCTCTGAATGGAGGCGGTACACGCCCACTCCCTGGGCGCACATTGTGCTCAGTGTTTGGCGTTTGCCTCTGTTGAATAATAAATTGTATTTTGCGGCATTTAAAAGCAATTTTTTAACATTTTTCAATCTCAATGGCAATGCCTGAAACGGCAAGCACGCACACCATCATAAATATCCACAAACACAGGCGCACAAGCGATGGCAGTGGCATACTCGTATCCGTAACCGTACACTGAAAAAACAACTTCTATAAATTACTTTAAATTTAAATATATTAATTTATTTTATTTAAAGTTGTAAATAATGGGAACAACGTTAAAATGTGAAGAAAAAATTGTATTTTAAAAAACAAAGTAATGTAGTTTTTTGGAATGATATTATTTTTCTCGCTAAGCATTTGTATGCAAAAATGTTCATATTTCAACATCTATTGTTTAGGTAGAATTTAAACGGTTCTAAAAACGTTTGCTTCTTATTTGAATATGAATATTGTATTTGATAGTTGGCCAAGAATCAAAGCTCTATTGTTTTAATAATACACACACATATGACCATCGTTGTGAATGCTATTTCTGGCAGTGTAATTATATACATGGTGGAATTGAGAAGGAGCCCGGACGGAGCCCGTTGTGGCACAGTTTTGTCTACCAATTTTGCAGTGAATTGTCCTGGGGATCTCTGAAGCCAAGGCTGTCAAATCGTAGCAACAACAGCCACCTCTCCACACACCGAGATGGATAGAGATAGATGCAGGGCGGGAGTGGAGGAGGAATTGGGAGCAAGAGCGAGATGGGGGTATAATTTTTGGCTTAGACTTGGAGCTGGAGAATTTTCGGACTGGCTCCCTGTGCATTTAGTTAAGCTTCAAGTGAAGACAGCAACGATTCGGCAGTGAAACAAATTGCAGCATTTAAGTTCCCCTTCCGCCGCATGGCTCTCCATCAGAAATTCAGTGCGGCAAGAGTAGGAAAACTAGTCGAAAATGTTCGTACTTGTGTGTTGGGGGCTGGCAAACAGTTTGCGTAAAGTTTGATTATGTGTGTAAACCGGCCAGTATTTTCCATTTCAAGTTGCTACACTTTGCATGTGCCAAAGCTGGCGGCAATGTTCGGTACAACAGCTGGCCATTATTAGGAACGAATCTCATGTCGATCCCAGCAGGCCTGTGAAATTAGTTCGACTCTGAGTAACAAATAAGTTTTTGCCTGGAACTTAACCACAGGTATTAGTAACTGAATCTGAACTGAAAATGGAGCAACTGCTTTCACGTCGTCGTAAATACAGGCAAAAAAGTTCCAAAAGGTGGATATATCATGGCATTCCAATTTCGTTTCCATCTCATCATATTAATCACCAGGGGACTTCGAAAGCTCTTGCCCAGTTTTAATTGCAAGTCTCTGGAAAGTGTGAGTCGCCAGGTTAGGGATCAACTGTGCCTCGTTCTTCCATCTGGTAGCTTTTATAAGAACTCCAAGCGTTTCTACAAGAGATGTACGAAACCCGACCGCCAGGAGTTCCAGCGCATCAGTGCAGCTATTGGCGTCGGATTCCTCATAATGGGCTCCATCGGATTCGTGGTAAAGCTGATGCACATTCCCATCGTCAACATTATCATGGATTGAGCTAGGAAGCTTTAAAGAAAATAAAGTTTCAATTCAACTGCTCCGAGTAGAGAGTTTCCTGGCCAAAAGCCAATTCGGAAGGAGCAAAGACAAGCTGGTTGTGCTGACCTAAGGGTGTTGACAAGATCATTCCTTTACTTGCCAAGTTATTTTTATTTTATCCGTTAGTCCCGTTGCAAAATAACTATGTTAAAAAGTTTAAAATATTTAAAGGGGGGGATGAAGGTTGATAGCCAAAGAACATTGATATTTTTAACTTTCGCAAGTACCAAATGCAATCTATATCAAAAACAATTATATTTTTTCCACCTTATATTAAGCACAAAAGCCTCTGGGATTTCTTGCCTTTATCAAAATCTTCGAATGGGATCAAAGGTGAAGCCTGATTTGGCATGAAATTGCAAAAGTGCAAGGTTTGATTATCCAGAGAGAGCCAAGAAATATTCCTTTTTAAGCACATGCCCTTTTTCAGGTAATACTTTTTAGTGAAACAAAAGAAATCGTTTACAGGTATTGGACTTTTCCCATTGAATGTCTTTTTTGTAAAAGAGTAAACTAGTTGACCAAATCAGTGGGCAAAGCTTTTATCCGAGCACTTGCAGCAGCTGCAGAGGGAATCAGGATGCGGGTCCTTGACGCATCAGTATCCATATCCCTTCGACGCTTGCCTGTGCATTGTCACATGTGTCTCCATTTGCTGCTGTTATGTTTTATTGATGAGACTCGCAAACCAAAATTGATGATGCCTCGATGTCCTCGTCCGCGTCCTTGCCGCGTTGCGAGGAGTAAAAGCGAGTTGCCTTGTTGTTCCCGCTGTTGCCGCCGGCAAATGGCGAAAATTTATTCAAAACTTCGAAGCAGTTGCATCCTTTAACGGCTCGTTCGTGCAACAGGCGTCAAAGGACCTGATGTCGGGAAATTGACGTGGGCTTTAGTAACAGACGAGCCGTCTCACAGGAAACTTGAGAAAGTTAAAAAACCGGCGACTTATTAAAAAAAAAGTTTTTTTTACCAAACTTCACTTAGTTCATTTTTACTGGTATTCCCATGTCAAAGTTGTCGAAAGTGGAGTATCGAAATTGGGTAAATGCATGTGTAAAAGAAATGGCAACAGGATATTAAAATTTATGGAGAGAAACAATACTAACCTCCTTTGTAAAAAAGCAAACGTTTGTTACATTTTTTCATTATGAAAGTATAGGGAAGTCAGATGGATATAATTTGCTTCAAATAAACATTGTTCGGAAACTAAAAGCTGACGGTTATCTTATATTATAATAAAAAAATATAATTTTATATATCAGCTAAAAAATGCATTTACTATACAAATCTTAAAATCAAAAACTTAAAAATGTTTTTCAGGTATACTAAAGAATTAATATTATTAAAGAATAAATTTATTATATTATAATTCAAAGTAAATTAGGCGAACTTTCTTGGTAAACTAATACAGTAAGTTTTACACACATTAGGCCATCCAAACACACATAGATTTTCTCTTTGTGCCTTGGTTTCCTTGTTCTAGTTTCCTTCTTGATGCATTTTAATTAAAAGTGAAGTGCGGCCATTAATTTGCAACTACAAATTACACTCAATAAAACATGTCTGCTACACTGATTTTTTGGCACGAAGCGAGTGCAAAAGAGAGAAAGAGAGAGTAAATGGGTGTGCGAGTGTGTGTGTGTGTGTGCTGGGGAGACTGGCAATCAATTTGCACTTTGACTACAATTACTGATTTTCGACACTTCAAAGGATTTTATAAATTGCCATTTGCTCTCAGCCCTCAAAAAAAGTTCTACGTTGCTGCTCTGACTTTGGCAATTTGTTTTGGCCTTTTCCCTTGCCCACACACACATACACACATGCACTAATACACTGGTACACTCGCACACTCATCCTTACTCACACGGACATGGTCACATGTGTTTTTTGTTCTCATTCTGATTGCGCCTACCATGTACAACTTTAATTAACTCAATGTGCGACTCCTGCGGCCAAATGGCAAGCCGTCCAAAAAGCCAGGACTTGAAAGTAGTTTCTGCGTGGCAAATTCTGGAGCGAAAGGAGGCAAAGAGTAAAGTGATTTTTGTTTGGTTGGCATGCGGCAAATTAGGTTTTGGATGAATGGAAAAGCTAATGAGGGACACCGAATCAAGCTGGACAAGGTGGGAAAACGTAAGAGAAGATATTTTTTTCGGAAACAGTTGAAATTTCTCCACCCTCTGCGTTTTAGGCAATGTTTTGATTCCGCAATCTCCATGCAAAGTGAAGACACACGCATAAAGCGGAAAACATTTTTACACATATGACTGGCGCTGATTGAGTTTGTCACGTCGGCGAAATAAAATTGCGATGCGCCCCCAAAAACTGGTGGCTAAGCGAAGCGGGGAGGTACGCAAAAAAATCGGGGAAAAAATAAGAATGCTAAGCGTTCCGAAGAAAAAATACCAACTACTTAGCTTAGATATTGGCAGATATAAATGCGAATCTTGCTCAGTAAAATAATATCACTTCTTTTCATAACATTTGCTAAAAGGGGTAAGTCATAAAATTATATTCAAAGGAGTTATTCCGAAAAGCGTGAAAAGTATAGCATTCTTCTTATCTGTAAAGCATAGGGTACACAAATCGGACAAGAAACGTCCAGGAAGAACCCCTGAAACCCGGAAAACCCGTGACTTTTTTGTTGGCCTATTCTGCGATTCTACTTCGATATATATGCACACCTCACCCCGTTGGTTTCGGTTGCCTTTCTTGCATCTGTGCCAAAAACCGGGTAACGGGAGCGGAATTGCAGTAAAATCGTCATCGATGAACTCGGCGACCTCTTTACGCATGCAAACAACCGCACACACAAACACACACACAAATACACACACAAATCGAGGCCTCATCCGTCCAGCATTGCGTATACGTAACGTGTGCCAGCGCCAACCGATTGTCGCAGTTGCGGAATATTTGCATAATTTAGCGATTGAATTTTATGCTCAAAAGCAAAGCGGAGCAGCTGCTTTTCCCTCCCCTTCTCCCCGCCACATGGCCATACATCAGACGAAAAGGGGAAATTTGAGGAGCTTCCTCCATTTTGCTTTTCATATATTAATTATATAATTTTTGCTACATTTGGGCGTTGCCAGGAGCTTCCGAACGGCATCATCGTCGTTATTAAGCTGATGATGAACGCCGTTCTTGCCGGGGCATGGACAATAATTGCATGCAACATAATTAAAGCCATTAAAGCACTTAAGCTGCCGGAAAACCCAGGACATGGCATATGGCTGGCCGTGGCTATTGGCAGTCGTCCGGCGGGGAGAATTGCAAGTGCGGGGGGTTGGCGATAGAGTGGCCACTGGTCGAGTCATGTTTGCATATGCATAATTATGATGAAAACACATTTAAATGCATTTAATCGGGCGCATAGCCAGCCTCGAAGGGGATCGGCAACAGGAGCATCAGGGGGAAAGGGGCTGGACCTACGGCCAAGGATCGTGGTCAGTTGGGTTTGGTCGACCTGGTTTGGCAGGTGGCTTATGGCCACGGCCCACTGAAAAGGCTTTTAACGTTTATTGGTTTTTATTAAATATTCCGTGCCCGTGGCGAGTTCGCAGGCATATTAAATTCATAGAAACGGATTGCTCAATTTATTGGGCTTCAAAAGGCATATTTAAGTTGAATGAGCACAAATGTTTGTGGTGCTGATGAACAGCGTCAATGATTTTTAGTTCACTATTGGCTTAAATTTGTAAAATCTTTAACGAAATTGACTTGGCTTAAAATGAGTTACAAGCCATTCTAACAAACGAGCATTCTGTTTTTTTTTTGTTTAGTTATGCAAAATGAATTTAATAAACGAAAAGTATTTTTTAAATAAACATCCAAGCCAAACAAAATTTCACATTCTCAAAATATTTAATTCAGATTTTACTGTAAGGATTGTGCCTGCTGACTTTCACTTTTATTAGGAAAAACATACGAGAATTTAATACTCCATAAATCATGTTTCCAAAAATAAACGAAATCATTTTCCATCAGCTATCGATCGAAGAATATGCAAACTTTGATTGGCAGAAGAAATTCGTTTGTTGCTGTCCAACATGAAATGATTCAGAGATGTCTACGAAAAGTTGTTTGTTGATTGGCATAGTCAGTGTGGAGGAAATCCCATTCATAGCTGTTGATATTGAAATATTTACCGATTCGCCTACTGGAAATTATGTATGCAATTTAAACGAAATTATTTATGTGCGAAGATTTTTCAAATATTTATACTAGTCTAACAAAAGTGCATACACACATTCGCTTTCATTGTTTGTTGTATTTGTTGTATTTGTGGGCAGTTTTGGGAGAGTTTCTATTTGTCTCGACCGGCCAGAAATTTAATTAAATCTCTGCTGAGCATTTCAATTTCATTTTCTATTTACACTTTGTGACAATTTTTACGCGTCAACTTCTCTGGTGTAGCTTTTTGTTTCGGGGCGACCCATTGTTAGTTTTTGTCTTTTTCGATTCAAAGCCTAGAGTGTGGACCCTCCATAAATGTTGCATGAGGCGCACTTCCCGTTTCCTGTAAGCGCATTTCGCTTTCATGACAAAACAGAAAAAGGCGAACTGAGGAAGCGAAGATTTTTGGGCGGCTAAGCAGGAAGCTCAAACTTTGAAGTTGCCGGAAGCTCGGCTGTTGTTGTCTCTTTGACCCACAACCGAATGGCGAAACAGTGGCTCTGCCAAAAGGAAGCCGGCCAAAATAGTTGATCCTGCGGCCGCCTCTCACCCAATTGACCCATTATCAGTAGTCCGACCTCGGAACACCTGGCCAACATCTGCGGCGGTTTCAATTACCCGCACTTCCACTCACTGTCACCTCGCTTCGAACTTAAATATTTATAAAGTTTATTAATGTGTGTGTGTGTGGCACCTCCGCGGGGAAAGCCAAAAGACAAAGAACCGAGAAAAACCAACGGGAAGACGGAAAGAAAAATACAATTATAATTATTTATTATGCGACAGTTTCCACTCTGACTATCTGCGTCTCCTCGGCTCCTTTGTTGCACTCTCTGCAAACGAAAGCGAAACGAAACTGTCGCGAGAGTTGGCCATAAATCATTTATGCAGCAGACCCTCACACACACGCAAGCAAACAGACAGACAGTCAATACACTGAAGAAAAAATCGTAAAAAAACAACCATTTTTAGCTAAACAGCAATAAAAATAATATTCCGTTTGTTAACTGCAGTAAAAGTCAATTGTTGACGCTAGTATTAATACTAAGGCTGCTAATCATCAATAAAACTTAAAGAACATACTTTTATAAAAGCTAGAAAAATCGTAATTGACTTTGTAGTTAATAATATACTGTTACGACTTACGAAAATATAAATAAGACTTTCAGCTGACTTTCAAAATGTTTTTTTTTTAAACAAAATCAGGAGCATATTAAAGGATGTTGAAAGACTTTTTGCCGTGCACGGATACCCGTACGCATGCAGTATACAAAGTGGCATAAATCAACTTACACTCGCACACCTACACCCATCCAGGCCATCACTTACGTGGAGAGTTGGGTACATATATAAGGGGGGTTTTGAAGACGTGCCTGCAGTCATATGCAGAACTTGCAAAGGGTCCTTTCCCGCTTTCGCCCAAAGTAAAGACGCTGCAGAAGAACTGGAGAGAACTTACCCGCTCCGCTTCGTCGCCTCTCCATCCTTTTCCATCCCTTTTTCCCTTTTCCACGGCATTCCATTCCCTGCCCCTTTCAATTTTTTTGGGATGCATGTCAGTGCCTTGTGTGTCTTTTGATAAGCGCACTCGAAGCAACAGAAAGAGTAGCGCGGCATAAGCTGAAGGCGGGGTAAAAAGAAGTATAAGTTTTCCTCGCTTTTTTCGGCGTCTTCCTACTTTTATTTTTTGTTTTTGCTGCTTCACGCCAAGCACTTTATTGGCAGTTGCTGAAGTATGCAGCGCAGTGTAAGTTTGCTCGTTGAATTTAATTTCTGGCATGTGTGCCAGGGGTTAGGGGTGTGATTAGATTGCTTTTTGCACAGGGGTCGGGTGGCCAACTTTAAGCAGCAACTGCTTTTGATAGGACCAGAAAAATATGAAAAGAAAACTTATCTTTTCGGGACTTATCATTGCAGTAAAGAGGCTTAAAATATGTGGCCAACTTTTTTACAAATTAAATTTTAAAAAAATTTTGTTTGTTATTTTGAGCTTGGTTTACTACTGGTTTTCTGTTTGCACATTGGAAAACATAAATTAACGAGCCCTAACAAAAGTCCAACCAAAAACTATAATATATTCTACCACGTTAACAGCAGTGTCAACATAACCGTACGCCCATCAAATTGTAAAATCTACATCACAGAAACTATTCGGGCTTGAATATTGAAGTGGATGCTTTGAAAATAGTTACATATACATTTATACAAGCTGTACACATCTATAATGAAATATAGAGAATATATATAGAAATATTTTAACATGGAAAACCGTATCTGTAGGTTTAAGCTTATAAATAATTAAACCTGAATGAGTCAGTAATTATTTTGAGTTAAGATTGTATAAGTTTTTAGTTTCCCCTCAAGCGGATTTTTTTATTCACTTTTGCCTGTTCCGCCATCAACCCAAAAACTCATTGGCCTGAGGGATAACCATTTTCACCTTTTTTCCCCCATTTCGGCCAGAGCTGGCAAACATTTTGCGTATGTTTATCCGAACTTCCGTCGATTTACGAAATTATAATTGCACTCACCCATAGAGAGGTGGGAATTTCTGGCGAAGTGTTGGGTGGGCATTGGGAGGGGTGCTGGGCACGCTACGTTTACAATGCACTTCCGCCCCATTGTTGTTTTGCATGTTGACATGGTGCAGGCACCGCCAGCGAGGCAGCCAGACATATTACTCATACGCCGTGTTGTCGCTGCCGGTCGGTGGGAGTGTGCGTGTTGACAATCATGTATTCGCTGGTTTTTCTGTTTTCCTTTTTTTTTGTTTTCGCATCGCCGTGCTGTTGCCACTAATGTGCCACGCCCCTCGGCGGCGTTAAGTTGAGCTGACAATCGAAAGCCGAGAGGTGGCAGAGCGGGCCAGTCAAGTGTGTGGGCGTTGCACGCTCGTCTTTTCTTTCCATCTCCTTCCTTCATTGCAAAAATAACAATGGCAGGCGGCATCAGCAGCAGCTGCAACAATGCAACATGACAACTTCCGTTGCATTCGCCTCCCGGCACAAAGGAAAGCGACAAAAAGTCGAACACAAACAAACACTCATACGCCCCGTGGAACGGGGCAAGAATGAAAAACTGTAACGGAATCGCATTGTGCGGGTGAAAATGTTTTTTCCTGCCCGTGTACAATAAAAGAACACACAGAACACACAGCTGGCAAATCGGAGGCAGTCCCTGAGAAATATGGCAAAACCCAACCAGCAGCATCAGCGACTATCACCGAATATCGCGAATATCCCACCAGAAATGTGACAAATCAATTATTTAGTATGTGATATGTGTTAACCTGCTGCGCGAAGCCAGACCAAAGCAATTAATTGGATTCCATTCGATTCGGTTTGATTTGATTCAAGCGCCCGTGTCACGCCCACGCAATTCCATTTAATTATGCTAATCAGTCCGCGAATGCACCGAGCTTGTTAATTATTTTTTTTACTAATTAACATTTATTGCCCTGACCACCTATGACGACAGAGTCATCATTTATATATGTATTTATGTATCTTTAAGTTAGGAATTTAGTGTTGGGCTGTTTTATCTTCGGATTCCTCAGCTGTTTGTTCTTCGGTTACTTGGGCTGGTTGTTCTTCGGCTTCTTCGGTTACTTGTTCCTCGTATTCTTCGGTGGTTTCTTCTTCGACTTCTTCATAATCATAATATTCGTACTCAATAACGGGATGACCGGCTTCATAGGCACAAATTACCAGCTTGAAGGCATACGCACAAGGTTCTTCAGAAGCCTGTGCCATGCACTTGATAATGGATTCTTCTGCCTCATCAGTGGCATTCATCAGTTTCAGATCCATTTTACCCTGATCATTTAGCCATTTAGTCGGCTGCCTTTCCAGCTGACATTTAACATTGCACTTGTACTTTAATTCGACATCTTCGTTGAGGAGGTTTTTTAAATTACCGAATTCCTCAAACTTCTCGTATTCTTCAATGGAAACATTAGTTTTCTGTAGACAATCTTCAAAATCATCTAGGGTTTCGTTGAAAAAGTCGAAGGGATGCCCATCAGCCTGAAAGTTAATGATGTATTAAAATCGCAATAAGTAGTTTACTTCCTTCATCAAACTTTAGAATGACTGATTATAGCCAAGATTAAAAGCGCAAAAAAATCCAGTCTGTTCATAATCATCTTTGAAACCGAACTGAACAAAAGCTGTAACAATGCACCCTTAAATATTACACTTGATAACCTGTTTTACATATAATTAACTTATAGATTCCGTGAAACTTCAATGCACCAATTTAAATAAATAATAATTTTCTTTTTAATCGGAAAAAACAAGCAAACACTTGAATATAATAACAAGACCGTTTGCGAGGGTGTTTTTATTAAAGGTTTAATTATTTTTATTTAAAAGTATAACCTAATATTCCATAATTTCCGGATGTCCTGCCTTAAAGGCGCAAATAACTAGTCTGAAGGCGTAGGCACAGGGCTCTTCGGAAGCCAGATTCATGCACTTGGTAATCGATTCAGCTGCCTCATTGGTGGTTCTCATCAGCTTCAGATCCATTTTACCCTGATCACTCAACCATTTTTCCGAATCTCTTTCCAGCTGGCATTTGATATTGCACTTGTAATTCAGTTCCACATTCTCGTTGAGCAAATAATCCAGAGTCTCAAACCGCGCATACTTCTCGTACTCCCCAATTGTAATGTTATTGATTTGAAGGCACTCCTGAAAGTCTTTCGAATTCCAGTGGAATATGTCAAAGGGATGACGCGCCTATAAAATTGACTTGTAATACACCTATTCATCAAGCTGATCAATAAATAATACGACCTTTGCTAAGCTGATGAAAACCAGTATCAGAGACGCCACAAATGTATGTCTGTAGATGAACATTGTAGAAATCAAACTGAACAAAAGCTTGTGAAATTCCCAGTGGCTTGAAACAATTACGTTTGAGTTGCTAAACCAGTTTTTGCCTGATTATTCGTTTAATTTATTTTTCTCCGATGCAGTGACTTCATCTTGCCGTTCTATGTTTTCCGTCAAACAAGTTACCATTTTGAACGCATATTCACACACATCTTCCTCGTCATCGTTGATCTTCTTGCAGTCGGTGAGCACCTCTCGAAGTTCATCGCTCACGGGTTCTATTTGGTCGATTTTATCCAAATCCAGGTAGCCTTTAGAGTCCAATAGATTTCCTTTCTCAGCCAGACAATAGACAAAGCACTTGTATCTTCTTTCGGTGTTTTCGAGATCCTCCTCTTCGGAGCTTTTGTCAATGAGTTCCTGGAATTCAGCCTGGGTAATGTTGTTGATAGACAGACACTCCGTCACCAAGTTGGTTTCCTCCAAGATGGATACACCCTGAAAAATATACCTCTGCTTATAAAACTATACAATTAACATATTTTAAAGAAGTATTACCTGGGTGGAAACCACTATGAAAGTCAGTACCAAAACGACCGCTAGTTTGAACATTATTAATAAGCTCGCAGAATCTGCTTCAAAATAAATATTGACATTGCCTTCCCTTTCACTGCTCACGATAAACTGTTAGCCGGAGAAAATCAGTTCTCAATTTTATAGAAACTGGCTTGTGGGTAATTTATGGGGGCCAGCTTATCAGTATCTAACTAGTGTATTAATTGCCAGCAGCTAGTTACTTCACTCAATACAAACCTGCTGGATAGACGATCTGTCGTGCATTTAATTGAGTCTCGAAACTCGGAACTGAAACAACATCAGATTGAGCTTGGGCACAGTGATTGATTTGAATGCTCAATGGCGATGGTATTTGTTTACTTAACTAGATTTTTTTGTTACATTTTTACAGACTTTAAAGGCCGGGCACTACGGTTTTTTTGGCCAAACTAAACACTGAGGGGGCAAAAAGGGCCACGTAAATTTAATTTTATACGCAGTGAAATTCGCATAACATTTCCTGTCAACATATTTTGCCACACTTTTGCTGCAAAAATGAAGCGACAACTGCAGCGGCAGGAGCAACACAGAGCGACAAATTGCGATGACAGGAGGGGGGAGCGGGGGTTTCAGCTCGCTTCGGTTCGGGGGCAGGCATTCCTAGCTATGCAACCCCATGCAACTCCAGACAACAAATGAAAATTCCAAGAATATTCACATTCGTAGTGAGTTTTGGCTTTTGCGGCCGGGACTTTGTCTGCTCTTTTTCCGAGCCCTTTTCCCCGCCAAACCGCTTGTCGCGTTGTTTACTTTGGTTATTTACGGCCTGAACAATTTTTTTTTTTTCGGGCTCTTTTTCTTTCCACGCTGCATACTTTGGCCGGTTGCCAAAAAGGAAATATGTGTTGGGAAAATTACAAATTTTTACGGTCATCGCTAGGTGCTAAACTGTGTCCCCGGCTGACCCAGCTTGTCGTTTTCAGTCCTGTCAAGTCCGCTGCATAATTGCGATGCTTCTTCTCAGCCCGTCAATTTTAGATGTTTAACGAAAATTTCGCATTTGCATGGACCCTATTTCGGCTGTTCTGCCATTATTTGGGCTGAAATTTGATTATGATGCTTTCAGATAGGTGCGCTTGGAGGCTAATTAGCCCTATGAAAACTAATTCTGAAATGTGTTGGGCTCGTTTGGCAGTTGCATTATTTATGGTTCACAATGGAAATGTAGGCAAAATGATGATTTTAAAAGAATTTCAGGAAATTCCCCCAGGAAAGAATACCTGCAAACCTGTATGGTTTAGAAATAAAATTCAATAATGAAACTGCCTTTAGAAAATGTAATTTCCCTTTGGCGATGTGTACAAAAATTAGATATCAGTAAGGCCTTGCCAAATTGTAACTAATATGTAAAGCTTAATTTGAAAATAATTAATTTATTTTAAAAAATTCTGTAGTACAAAACATTGTATGATTTTTTTTGTTTAATTTAGTTAGCAGAACCAAATAAACTTTTATTCTACCTTGATTAAATTCAAGTTTCAATGAAAGTGAAAAAAAAAACACCAAATTCCAGACTCCGCTCTCCACTGACAGCTTCTGCCATTTGTTTTACATGTCAGGGGGAGAATGTGAAGTTTCGTTGCCCCTTTCATCCAGCTGTTGCCTTTTCTACCTTTCCACCGGGAAAGTTGCCACAACAAAGAAAAACTAAGGAAAAAATATGTGTAAAAAGTTTCTGCTGCTTGGCGTAATAAAAATAAATAGTAAGTGACTTCAATATGCATGTCACGTATTTTGCATGCACTTTGATGCCACGACCACCCACAAAATCCCGCCCACATACATTTCGGCACGTGCAGAAATACAATGGAATTTGAGGAAAAATGCGTAAAATGCGGAGGGCAGACAGTGATGGTAACATAACCGAAGGATTTTTGGCAACTTGGCCTGGGACTTTGACCTACCAAGACAATGCAACAAATTAATGGCCGAAATCTTGGAGCTTGCTAACGACAATGACCAGGTTGCAGGTTCGTTTCGGGACTTCGGACCACTAAGGAGTTTACATTTATCAATTAGGTTGAAATGGAGAGCAGTTGAGGAAGCAGCTGCCGAGTTCATTGCAATAACGGCAAGGACCCAGCCCCCAGTCACTGGGGTGTGAATCGCTCCTCCAGGACAAACAAAGGGAAGGCGGTGGGAAAACATCCTTGCATCCTGGGTGCTGCAAGTGTGCCGGGGCAAAGGAGCCGGAGACAGCTGCATCCTTGGCTGGCGGCAGGGCAAAGTGGCAAGCGGAGCAGAGCAGAGCAAGACAAACCCACTTCCCCGGCGCTAATTACAAAATTTTTAATTAAATGTTAAGCGTGGGATGGACGACTTTAAGCACTCATAACCGAGAATGGGCACGCCGCAGAGCTTTAAGTTCCCGTTCGCGGAGACAATGGCTACGACTTGACTCCCAGATGAGTTCTGTTTATGCCGGACTTTTGCCATTTTTTTCACTGCCTTCCGTGAGATTTGGACGCTTCGCTGCACTTGGTGACTATTTCTCCACCCACGCAAATGAGCTTACATGTGGTATTCCGGGTGCAATGGATTTCAGGGGCTTTCAGCCAAGCCAAAGGAAAAAAAGGTTGTTTATCACTTTATCTAAAAAATTTTAATTATTGCAATAAATCATACATTTTGCTTGTTTAAAATAACAAAATTAGGTTCAGTTATCACTTATGCAAAGTACTTCAAAACAAATACCAACTTTTTGTACTAAAAATGGATGGCATTGTTGATACAGTAACATTTGTAACTTAAGTTTTATTTTATGTTTTGGTTTTTCTTGCAAAAAAAGGGTGCCAAATCTTCGCATCGGAATTGGGGGCCCTTTTTTTGGCAGCAACTGTAGGGCTTAAAGTTTGAGCTTAGTGCAAGCTCGTGTGCGAATAGTTTTGCCGTATTTGCAGAGAACGAGAAGGACGAATGGAAGAGAAAGCGTTTTGCTAACTAAAAATAAACCGAGTGTTAAACGTGGCTTACACACTGGCCATTTTTATTGCCAGCCTGGTCCGTCAGCCGTGAATAATCGCATTAGTTGTGAAATTAAAAATTACAAAATAGAATAGATAAATCCGCCCACGGCTGGCTGGTTGGCTATCTGGCTTGAGGTAAGCCTTTTGTTGGCCCACAGGCGGAACTATTAACTGCCCGCTCCCCTCTCCGTTGTGTCCCCCATAAATTCGATTAAAACGTCCTTTTTTTGGGTGGGTGGGTGTGTTCTTGTGTGTGTGTCCAAGGACTTACTGCTAATTGAATTGCCGAGTCGAAAGAGAATTAGTTAAGCCCGTTCGAGGGTTAATGTGCTGGAAGTTGCCCTAAAATTATCCAAGGGGTCAAAGGTGGCTCACCGTTTTTTTTTTCTGTGGAAAAGGAGAGCTCATTATTCCTGAGTAGGCTAACATGCATTGTGCCTTTGAACTCTGTCAACCTGGGACACTTATGCTTACTTATTACTGCCTACTTTTCACAGCGGATGCCTCGGCATGTCAGCCAATATCCTTGGGGAATTTCTGACTTTATACATCTTCGATATATAGATGCCATGCATATTTTATTCATGGCAGTTGACCAAGATGTCACAACGATGATGATGACGTCAGTGGCATCTTTTTTCGCCAAGTCCTGGTGTAAATTTAAATCCAATCTCATGGCAACCGAGAAGCAATGGCAGCAAAAAGATGAAGAGAAAACGAAGAAGTGGAAATCAATTTCTTTTGTGTGACATTTGAAAGGTTTCAAATGATTTTCAATTGTTGTTGCATTGACAATTCACAAAACCGAAGCTGAGTCTTCTTTTTATATATGACCTCCCATTCAATCCCCGCCATCTCTTCCCAATAAATACAGGGATATTGACTTTGTCCGTATGAGCTTCATAATCCGATTTTCGTGTTAAATGATTCCCTTCTTGGCTTTTGTGAGCTGCCATCGAGTTCAACTTTGACTCCACGATGTTGACGGGTTCAATAAACATTCGTACAGGTGACTGCCTGCATTGTGTATTAAATTCCGACACTTAACCCCCTTGACTGCAACTGTCTGCCAAGTTGGCGGCATGGGTTAAACAGCACTAGACGGCGACTCATTACTTGAGTGCTAAAATGGGTGGCTGCTGTTGCTGCCACTGCCTTTTTGTGGCAATTTTTGAGTGCGCTTTCTGCAGTTTTTAACTTGAAACAACAACAGTCAGTTAAGTCCTTCTCATGGTCCTCGTCATTTTTTTCCTTCTCCTTCTGGTTCCTGCAGCAGGTGCATGTTGCTGTTGCCCCGTTTTGTTTGCGGCAAAGTGCGCACCGAGCGTCATTGATGCTGACGTTGAATGTTGATGTTGATGTTGCTGTTGTAGCTGCTGTAGCTGTTGTAGCTGTAGCTGCAGCTTTAGCTTTTGTTGTTGTCGTCAAGCTGCCACTTGTCACATGGCAACAGTTTAGTTTTCCACACATACAGAAACACACACACGCACACATTCAGCCGCACACTCTCTCAAGTGAGTGCAAGTGCCGGCTCAAGTTGCACTCTTACATGCAGCAAACGGAAATCAACGCAGAGCGCCCAGTCGCCGGGCCAAATGAATGGAAAAGCCCCACCCACTCGGCCCCCATTTGTCCCCTCCGCCCCCTCTTCTCCCCTTCCGACGTCTCGTGGCAGTCAAAGGTCGCCGTTTATGTTGTCGAGCAGTTTTGCGGCTCAAAGATGTGGGTCTTCTGGAACTGTGGTTAACTTAGAACGCCTACAAAGAAATAATTCCAAGAAAACATTTTAAAAGAGGAGAGGTATAATTATAAAAAGACAAAATAATTTTAAATGTTCTTCAGGAAAGTTATTTTTTTTTGGAAATTATGGAGTCATCTAAGGAGTCATCTTTTTGCTCACCATATTTTAAATAATCTATTAGGGTTAAAATAAAATTATTTTCCTGTTAAGCAAATGATGCTTATAACCCTGAAATAAGTTTCATAAAGTAATTGTGAAAAGATAATTCGTGCATGCCCGGTTTTTCCAGCTAAGTTAATTTCTTCTTTTAAGCTAAAGATATTTATATATATTAATATTTAGATAAGGAACTTACATGGTATATGG